GAATCGTCAGTACAGCCTCCTACCCGCCATGTATTGAAAGGACATGTAGCTAATTTGCTAGAAGGACGAATGAAAGCAAAGGATAAAGAGAGTAAGAACGAGAGAAAATGTTTAATATCATGAAAGAAGTAGGAGAAAATCAGAAAGTGTATTTTAATATCAGAAAGTGTGTTTCAAGTTCCTTGAAGATTGCACGACTTACTATTACTATTACATAATTAGCTACTATAAATTAGTAATATAGTAATATCAGCGCGTTGTCCCTTGTGCTAGTTGGCTGCAAAACTGCAGCAGCATTTGGCATTTGAAAAGCGAAGAAAAAACATACATCTAACGATGAATTAGATAATGAGAGATTCTCCCGTCGAAGACTTGACAGCAGCAACAACGTATCAGGTGAATGCGCACGCACTAACGATAATGCAGTGACATTGCAATTGGACAGTTCGCCTTCCAGAAGATCCACAGTAAGAGCATCCTACAAATATTGTTAAAATGTAATGTAATTAAATTATTGCTCCATATTTCAGTAAAACTAACCTGACAAAACGACCAAAGGTATGAAAAGTTCCAGGAAAGTTGCACGGGCTCAAAGTGAGAAATAATACTGCACAACAAGAGGATGTGAAAGATTTTTTATCAAGTTGCTGCTCCTATCCCAAGGTTGTTGGTGCAAACAGTGCTAAGAATGTCTGTGAAAGCAGGAACTATCGAAACACATGGATGACATCAACAACCTAAAGCTAGAAGTTCTGAAATTCAGGTTGCCTCCACGGCTTAACAGCCCGACAGTACACCTTCCTAGGCAAAAAAATTGCTCATTTAAAGCGAAATTTGAAAAATTGTAGCCTGTTTTTACACTACCAGATATCTACAGAGCATTTAGTTGAGCGATAAACACTTAGAAAAAATTTGGGGAACCACGGGAACTGGTGAGGGAAAATATTTTCAAAAATGACCACAAAAATACCGAGCATATGACACAAGAAAGTGCCAAACACATGACATAACAGTGCTAGGGGAAAGTGGTGCAGCAACACATACCACAGCGATGGGAAAAGCTGTGTGATATGCCATGGACATACAAAATGCGTGACAATATATTGGTGTTGTGGGGTGCACATCCCATGCTTAACAGCCTGAAGCAAAAACGGGCGAAGTAGAGCGAGTTCTGTGTGCAGCACAATATTCAGTTGATCCAGATTATTCTTGATATCGTCCAGAAGTGCGCCATATTCTGCTGCTGATTTTGGAAGTTGTCTAGCAATCACCTACAATACAACTGTTTACACAGTCTCACTAAAAAACATTTTTAAAACTGAACATTAAAATCATATCAAATATGACAACATTTCAATTATGACGACAATTCCTGAAAAAAATTTTTGAAACCTGCGTGAAAAACAGTATTTCTAGAAAACTAAAGGAGAAAGTAACCTATTTTTTTTTATGCGTTTTTTGCAGCAATGCAATGCGAAAAACGCATATTGACGAGAGGTTGTCTGT